ACATGATTTGACAAGAAAATACGATTAACAGCTCTCAATGAGAAAAAGTTTGAGGGACCCTTTGATAACCATTTTGTTTTCAGGTTTTACTTTTTTTGAAAACTGAAACCCGACTGTTGGATAACTACTTTTAGTGTTCAAAAAAATGAAAACTAAAAATCAAAAGGCGAAAACTACTTTCTTGAGTTTTTAAAGTTTGGCTTTCAGTTTTTTTTTTTTCAAAACTGAAAGTAATTACCAAATGAGTTTTATTTTCAAACGACCCCTTAGTAAGTTCTATATGATATGGCGGGGTTGTTATATATGCTAAATTCTTAGGGTGCAATACTAGTTCATTTATTTTGAGATTTCTTTATAAATTAACAATTATCTATTACTAATTCAAGTGTTATAATAAATCCAACCTAAATACGAGTAATCTCGGACGTAAGCAACGAATATTAAATTGCTGTGACACAAATAATAATGTTGGTTATGTTATCCCATGAAGACCTTTAACCTACCATTGATCCTTCCGTTAAACAATTATAATACATGTCCAGATAGTGAAATTAATTGTAGTAATCATATAAAATTAGAGGACCTATTACCCTAAACAATATATGATTACTTATTTGTGACCACGTCCTTATGCTAACCCTACCTCCACTAAATAACTTTAAAAAAAAACAGTGATTAGAAACAACTTATAGAAAAAGTGGTTAAAGATTCCAATACATGATGACAGTACACTTGGTTCATGTACCAATTATACCACCAATATTTTATTTATAAATTAGTTTTTTAATATAAATTTTATAGCAAGAACAAAGAAAAAATATTAGCCAAATCCAAAAGAATAGAAATCAAGATTGAAATCTCATTTTCCTATATATTAAATCGAAAGCTTTACCAATAATTGGTATGCTAATATACAAATAAGCTAACTTTAAAAGAAAATAAAAGAAGAATCCGTGATTATGAACAAGTTGTCGATGTACTTCAACTTCGACCTCATGACGTTCTTATTCAATTTGAAAAAAGATATGCAAAGTTTTGATTTAATTAATATATCATATAAGTACATCATATTAACTCTGAACTTGTTTGGAAGTGCTTTTAAACTGACTGAAAGCGCTTTAAAAAAAAATTGGATTCTAAAATCACTTGAAGTGCTTTTCAGAATTCATTTACGTTTTTATTAAGGATTAGTTTAAAAACATTCACAAAAACCCTTTAAGTCATTTTGAAAGTAGTTACAGACAAACTCATTATCTTTTGCCCTCTCATTAATATTAAAGTCAAATTCATTAAACTAGAAGGGGGAGTTTAAAAAATCATGGGAAAATTGGGGGGCCTTTTGTTTATGGTAACAGAGTGTTTCGGCGAAACATGGACATTCCCTTCTGAAGGAATCCGTTTGGGGATTAGTTAACAAATCATTTGTGCTTTGCCTCTGGCGTTTTAGGATAATTGGATTTTCCATTCCCTATTCCCTCACAGCCTTTCTCACTGACATATTTGATTAAATTAATTAATATTTCTGCTTAATTAAATCATAGTATTAGGAAGCAACTAATTAGTTTTCTCCACGACTTTTACGGGCGTGGACGCGTGTCGGTATTCCCGCGGAATACGCGCTCCATCACGTGATTGAAAATGTCTGCCTACCACATCGTCAGCCTCCCAAATCACGTGGCCAACTCACCCTTGCGTTGTGGGTGGGCCCCCCACGCCACTATTACGCGATCCCGTTTCTTCTGTTTGAAAGAAAAAAAAAATATTGAGAAGACGGTTTTGGGATCGTCTAAAAGCGGTTTCGGCATTCTCCTGTTAGTTGACGGCGTTAGTGCACTTCTCCCAAAACATGTTATTTTAAAAAGCCATGCACAACAAGATTTGGTAGGGAGATTTTTCAATGTGCTAAAAACATAGGCTGGTATATAAAGTGTTATAGTACAAGTGATTAGATTTTTTTTTTCTTTCAATTTCCAAACATTTGAAATATGACACTTGATGTATCAAGTCGTGTTTCCATCACATTGAAAAATTTCTCATCTAGTAGGGTTTGGGGAGTCTATACTGTACATAAATTTATTGTTCAATACAAGTGACTCAGATTTACTGTTATTACTTATGAAGTATTCAGAGAAACAAGCCAAGGTTCTACTTTCAACAACATCGACATTGTCTTTAACTTGTTAATTATTAGAGACACGAGCTAAAAGTCTACCTCCAACAACACTAATATTGTTAATGACTTGTTAATTACCACGTGCACAATCCTGTAGATGTGAGGGTTTATCACAAAAAACTTCAGTATTAGTTAGAGTGAGGTTAAGATATTTAAACTTTTCTTTCTTTCTTTCTTTGGCCGATGTGGTATATTTAACAAATTGTACATTATGACGCACTTCAAATTTTCATTATAACGTGGATTAAACTTGGCACTGTAGTGATCTCGTTGTAGGGAAAAGCTATTAAGAGAACAAATTTTCTACACTTTGCAACGTCACTATAACATTCAAGACCAATAAAGTCACGCAAATGTAAAAATATGAAACATGTACAATTTATTTTATTGATATGAAATATCACGATGACGTATCAAGAATGTAAAGAAGTCATTTTTTCCCTTGGGGATATTTTTGGGCACGAGAAAACTGGGAAAGGCAGTTTTCGGTTGGTGGTGGGGAATCCTTTGTACTACGCTTGCCCATGTGATACGCATACGTATGTTTTCGCAATGACGTGACGGGACCCCTACTCCCACTCAGCCAAAGACAGCACGAGAACGAAACGAACGGCTAAGCACCACGCACGTGAGCAGGCCACCCCTCACGTGAGCCCATCCCCTGCCGTTCATGGTTCATCAATCCCTGCAGGCTCGTGCGGTGGGGACCCCAATCTCTCCCCACGCCTATCCCCTACTTCACCCGGCCCTTTTCTAACGCCGTCATACGCCGCCGCTACTGTCTGCTAACGTCGTTATGCTGGCGAAATACCTAATCAACCCCTTGGAGTTTTGCGTGACGTCATACGAGGAAGGAGCATGGCGGCATCACGCAGTGGCTTGGGATTTCATACGTTTGGGAGGGCTACCCTATCTTGGGGCATAGGCCTACATATCTCCGGCTCTCTCTCTCTCTCTGTAACACTGTTGGGTACGTGAGAGCACGTGGTAGCCGGTGGCGGGGTCACTCTCTTTCTCGTGACGGTGTCACGTGGGGATGGAAGGTGGGGCCCGCGAATTACCCATCCCGGAAAAAACAAAAGAGGAAAAGGCGACAAATAGGGAGTGGGGGCATGTGCCTGCCTTTCCCGAGTGACCTGTCGTTAATGGGTTACGAAAGGGATGTGGTGGGTGACGTGGCGTGGTCACGTGGTGATTTCGCGTGTGGCTTTGCCTGGTCCTTGCGAGTGCGACGTGGCCCCTGGAGAGGTGGGGGGTTTCCCCCGACAGAGCCAGATTTTTTTCAGAGCTAAACAAACTGAGCCTACGAATTAAAGAATTCAGATGGTTAAAATTTGATCCAATAACTACAATTATCATAATTTTTAAAAGGTTTTCTGTTTGTAGTCTTTGAATCAAATTTCAATGGTTCAGATTCTTTGCTCAGGAGGGTCAGTTTATTTGGATTCGAAGGGATCCGATTCCGTCCCCAACAACTGAGGGAAATAAATAAGCTTGGGATTGGCATGGAAGATCGGATGATTAGGGTTCCGAGGGTTTCGGTGTTGGGCAGCACTTGCCAGTGTTTTGAGCACATTGCGGGTTGTTTTGTGTTTGGATGTCACATGGTGCAATGCGAACCTTGATTGCCTAGTTATGAGGTTGGAAATTTGGATGGTGTTGCTACACACTCGTGATATGGGCACACTACGTGTCGATACTGACTAAGCTAGTATTCTCGACTTGTAGGAGAGAAACTTGAAAACTTCAGTACGAGCATCCAGACCGCGTGACTTGTCAACACACACCTAATCTTCGTATTTGCTTCCATCTAACTACGTTGTATTTGAGAAATTCTTGTGTACGTCAGAGAGTGGACTAGAGGAGAAACCAAGCGAACTGGAAGCTGTATGCCTCGACGCCAGGAAGAACATAGCATATTCGAACTTGACAAACTTTGAGGCCGAACAAGGAAACGAAGAGTTTCTGTTTGATATGGATTGTGAGAATGCTGGGATTCTTGATCCTTCACATGTTACGTCGAGTCGCTTCTTTGATCAGGTTTCGTATCCTTTTGGGTCTAACCGTCGAAACTTGCTCTCAAAGCAAGATGAGACTTTGGAAGAGGATGAAGATAGGTCTGAGGGAATCACTTCCCAGCCAAATTGGCATCCAACTGCTTCAAAATTGTCCATGCCCCCGAAAAGAACTGATGTGGATGGGAGAAGCCGGCTACAGCGAGCAGGTACTATCCCAGGAATCTGAAGAATGGAAATGATCAGTTACCAGCCTCAGCAAGCTTCGTGAAGGTTGCTGATATGCGCGAGGATGAATGGATTCTGTTTCTTGAAAAGTTCAGGGAGCTTCTTTACCCACCCTTGGCAACCGAAGGTCTGCAACAATCGGGCAGAGACAGAGGCTTGGAACATCTTGCAGATTTTAACCTAATTCAACTTCTAGTCTGACATAGAAGAACGGAACCACAGAGGACAAGCTGCTATCAGTTTTCGTTAGGGAATTTGGGATTCTCTAATTTCTGCAGCATCGAAGAACGTCGTCATCAGCAGTAGAAGCAGCCTACGATGTAGAAATGTAGATAGTTTCCGAATCAAGAAGATCCGGGATCAGCTGAAGTGCAGGAATAAAGATGAAATCGTGTTCTTCGTTTTCTGTTTTATGCTTGTAGCTTCCATCTGAGTATGGCAAGAAAACAGTAGTAGAAAACCAGAGAAAGTATAGACAGAAATGAGGAAAGGCAAATACAATATGGTTATATATATTCTGAAAGTAGTTTCTTTTAAGTTGGTCAGAGCAGGGCTCCCCGACTCCTTGCACCTGAGTTAAGATACTACTGCAAAATTACTCCACATTCCTGCTCTCCTATGGAATAAGATTCATCAATAAAATTTAGAAATTACTTTATTTGTGGCTGAACAGTGGCAGTTGGAACCGGTTAAGATGGAGCTTGGCTTAATTTTGCGGAACCAGCTGAACCACACAGAATAGAACTGACTACGCCCTTCACAAAACCATCAAAGCAAGCTCGACAAGAGTTTGGCATCGGACTGGGTTTGTGCGGTGGCTGAAACTGCTCAGTGTGGGGGCATTCTAAGCTAGGGAAGGAGTACATACCAGACTTTGAATGCTTTAAACCACAAGCGCCATAAATGGTATGCGTGGAAAGCCTTGCGATTTCCTTGAATGCATCAACTCCTGAAAAAACAAAAAGATTTCGAGTAAATTAGTTAACTCCTATTTCAAGTAACACGTTTGTTTCATCAAAAGGCAATCAAACAGTGAAAACGCGCCCAACTATTTCTGTTCAATTAACAATGCATTGAATTGTAAAATGCCTTTCCTCATCGTACTCAAGTAACACAACATCGCTTTTCCCTTATCGTACTCAACATTCCATCATGCCAGCACTAGAGTCAATCAGAGACGAGAGCCAGGCTAATATCTGTCTACTATAAGAGCCAGGAAGTTGAAGGAATACTTGTCGTCAAAGTAATTCTTGGATGCTCCGGGAGTAAATATAAAAGCGGATGTCCTAAAATAGCGATAGTGTGCTTAAGTTTGTACTACCTGCCCTAGTTACTTGCAAACTATAGCATTAACCATGATACGTATATGTATATGGATCAAATATTAAACTAAGAAGTAAAAATCATACCTAATGGTTTGTCTTTGGTTAACATCTTCAAGTTCACCTTCACAACAGACGCGATTTCACTTTTGGCATCTTTTCTTGATTGGCCTTCCAAACAGCTCTCTCCCCGTCCAATATTTCTCTTCTGCGCGTCTAATTTACTGGAAGAAGTACTGATCTGTGGTTTGGCATAAAAAGAAGAAAGTGCTCCTTCATTTACTGAACAAGCAGACCTATTTTGCTCATGAATGATGTTTGCTGCAGCCTGCTTTATATGTCTAGCTGAAGGGCCTTCGCTAGGTGCGACTGCATCCTGAGGCGTAACCCTAAACTGCGTATCCTTTTCCAACTTTACAGGTTGATGTCTTATTGTTTCTTTTTCACGAGGACTGCATTTGTAGGACTCCTTTCCGGTTTTTCTCCGATCGCAGGCTCCAAGTTGTTGGCTTCTCAAAATATCAAAACTCGATGTTACATTTGTTGCTTCTTTTGAAGCACTTGACATCCTAGAAAGAAGTTTTGGGTGCTGAACGCCACTGCTGCTGCCAGTGTTTGTATGAACGTGCTGTTTCGATTTAATGTCACGTGTTCCACAACCAACTTGATTTATTGGTCGATAATACCCTGCGGAAGATGAGGATTGTGCTTGACTTGATGTACCAAAACAAGGATTTACATTAGTTCGTTTTCTTGAATCACTTGTTGTGTTGACGGAACTGCCGCTGCACTTTTTACCAGCGTCCATTCTTGACTTTGCAATTTCCATCATTTTCCATGCTTTGTCGATATCATTTAAGCCACAACTGTCTCGATTTCTCGGTTGTTGACCACTTGTGGAAGCTGAGGACTGTGTCTGGCCTGATCTTTCATGGATTACCACACCATTTTCAGGCTTTTGACTACTAATGCAGGCCAGATTTAATTGAACTCGAAGAGAAGCTCAATGAACCACTTTGGATGGCATTCCAATTTTCACGGAGTTCTTGCACTCGAGTGTACACATAGCGACGGTGAACCAATGTTCTTGCACCTGATGCTGCAACACTTGGTAGTGTTTCTGCTGGCGTGGTAATTACTTCATCTGCGATACTGGTAGACCTGTCACGGACAACTGGAAGTGCAAAGTGGTTTGGAATTCTAGGGATTCTTGGGAGATATCTATTCGCCACTGAGCTATAACTACATGATTCTTGTACAATGTCAAAGGCCGATATATTTGGGTCGGATGGTCCTAAAAGATATTCATCGTCAGAATCAGAACTAGAATCAACATTGTCATCGTGTTCTCCCCTAATAGTAGTGCAGTCAAGGCAGAACCAATCACCTTCGGGCACGGTATTACCCAGTCCAACACAGTACGTATGAGCAGCTGAATCGCAAATATCGCAGAGCAACAGAAGATATTCATCTGCCATGCCGTGGCACACTTGACACGTAACTTCTTCGTAACGAAGAACTTGCCCAGCCATGTTACTAGATGGATGGTGAGCCTGCACATTACAACACAAGAACCAATGTGAGGGAAACATGAATTCGAAAAACGTCAAACGTTAGCAGCTGCAAACTTTAACATAAACTAGAAGTCTAGAACACAACCAATGTCAGAGAAACATAAACTACAGCACAACCAATGCGACATAAACTTAAATTTGAAAACACAAACAATGTGACAGAAACATAAATTTGAAAGAACACAGACTGATAGGAAGCTGCAAACTGTAAATTTACAACACCAACAATGTGACAGAAACACTAATCGAACGTTAGCAAGCTGCAAACTTTAAGCATAATTTTTTGAAAATCTAACCGTTCCAGAAAAGCCCAATTCGAAAAATACGAAACCCAGATTAGAAATACAATTAAATTGAAAAAGCATGAATACATGATCACAAGCAGGAATCTTGACGACTCGCTCGCGGGCAAAGACGCCGTCTTTCGGCGGCCGGCGAATGGTGGTGAACCTGCGGCGGCAGAGTGGGCAGCGCGACTCCTTCTTCGACCACTCCATAATGCAGAGAAAGCAGAAGTAGTGGTCGCAGCAATCGATTTCGCCTCTGATCACTTTGCCACCTTCCAGGAAGCAAATTGGGCATCGCTGAGAAGATGAATTTTCGGGTTCTTGGGGTTCGTGGGGAATTGGGTCCTCTTCGATTTTTGATTTTAGGGTTTTCCGCCGTTTGTTTGGGGGAGAAGACGGGCTGTCTGTGTCACCCGCCATTGGAGCTCTCTCTGCGCCAAATCTAAACGGAGTTATGTTTGTTGGGGACATTCTTTATTTTGGTGGCGGAAATTCCTAAACGGGGTTGGAAAGTAAATGGGCCGGGCTTTAATCTAAGTTTTACCCAATCCACTTGAAAATTCTTGGTCTATTGATTTGTTTTCTTTCTTGTTTCTTTCCACATAAGCACATGTTTACTTAAGAACATAAAACGAAGGATAGTGCTATTCACATATTCATATCTATGTCCGACAAATTTTTGTTAATTTTTGTCATTGATTTTCTTCAATTCACTCGACCCGTTGGCAAAGAATTGTGAAAGGGTGTGGATACACTACCCAAAATGAATAGGAGATCTGTGGAGTTAGGAATAGGGAAAGTAAGGAAACGAAATCAATTAATAATTGATTACCCTCCTTAATTAATTTGATTCTCGATTTTCAATTATTTGAATAGTGGTAGGAGAAACTCATACTTTTTTGATTTCATGTGTGCTATAGGGCTTGTTGGGGAGTGATCTTGTGAGGACCATAATCACACATTAGTAGAAAAACACTTCAATCTTATAGCTTATTTGAAAATGTTTTAAAAATTACTGAAAGCGTTTTTGGATAAATTTTTTTCCAACCGAGTCCTTATTCTTCACAAAACTAGTTGGAGTTTCTCAACACAACCACCACACCCCCCCCCCCCCCCGCCCCCGGGCCCCCAAAAAAAACAAAACACCCTAGAATTATACCATAATCACACAACAATAGAAGAACATTTTTTTTGAAGTGTATTTAAAATGATTGAAAACGCTGTTAGTGAAATTTATATTAGGTTCCAAAAGCACTTTAAATATTTTTTTGGTTAAAAAAAAAAAAAAAACCAAATATATGCTTCTTACAAGAAGCACTTGGGTTTTTACTAAAGATTAATTTCAAAAACATTTTCAACAAAAAAAGTTTCAATCATTTTAAATACATTTCCAAATAAGCCCTTCATCATTATCACAAAAGAAATAAACAAGAATTTTATAAAATCATATGTATTAATGCATTGTATCTACTCATTGCAAATTCCTTATTCAAACATAACGTAATTTGTAGGAAGAAATTCGAGCTCGATTAGTATATATCACTTTGCCTCCTAAACCCAAATTGACTTTGGTCTACACATTTTTGTCGTTTTATTAATGTGTTTTCCTTTTCCCCAATATACTTTGTCCGTTTGAAATCACACCGTCATGCAAGGACTTAACTCCTTTCCACCACTGTAGTCAAGGAACACTTACTTGTCCTTAATTTCTGTCATGAATCTTGCATGTTGTCAAAATTTTGTTGCGGAGTAGTTGGTTTCCTAGACACCAATACATCGAGCTTTCCTGGTTTGGTGAACAATAATCAACGGCGCATGAGGGTAGAGGCAGGTCAAGTTTCTCTTTGGTGGGCCAAAAATTCAATCAATTACGTGATTAATTGCACTCTAATTCAACTTTATATGCAATTTTGTTTGATTTTCAAATCAGGCAAAACAAGAACAAAGGAGGAGCCGAAAGGCCCCGTTGAAAAAACAAGTGACGGTGGAGTCGTTGCAAACTAAGAAAAACTAACCAGTGACGGAGCCATTGAGGGACTAGAATGGTCCCTAGCCGATCTCGCATTTTGTTTTTCTTGCTACTATAACAAATGATGCTGATGCATATGACTCTAATACCTCATATTCTCTTTATTCCTCTTATTGCGTTGCAGTCTTCACTTCTACTTATTCTATTAATTTTCTTTGGTTTTTACCTATATCTTAAAGATTTTCTGCTTACTCTTTACCTCGTATTTGGGTTTTTGGATTTGTGCAATGTTTTTAGTTATCTTTATTGAATTTAGAGTCTTTCTATTTTTATGCAAATTACGCCAATCTCTAATGTTCTGAGCTTCAAATTACCTAGGTTTGTGAAAGGTCTTCCTACACATCATGAAACTGACTCCGCCGCCGAAACTGACTAGTCATACGGTGTCCAAAAGATAGATCGGCTGAAACTATGAGGCCTCAATGGTGATCTTGCGTAGGACATGGGAGACCGTCACGGATGAGAGAAACCATCAGAATAAGCAATGTGGGAGAAGAAGGAGGCTCCACATAAAACAGTCCCGCTACATTCACGGGCAACAACCCCATGAACGTGAGTCTAGAAGTAGAGTGATGGTTCCAAGCTCCGTCAACGTTCAACTTTATAAGAGGGGATTGTGGGGCTAACCATGATACCGACCTCGGAGCGCAGCAGGCCCGTAAGAGGAAACGGTGGAAGACGGATTCTACTCACCTCGGCACCTCGGCACCTCGCCAATGTTCCTCTTCTCGATTCCTTCTGTTCTTCATCTTCTCCGTTCAGAGGAAGAATCATATAAATGAAGAAAGAAAAACTTCCCAAGTCCCTCAGTGAGCTAGGATGGAAGTGGTGGAGGAGGCCCAATAATTGCTTCTTTTCCCCTTTTATCTGGTAGTTTTGCAGATGCTTACGAACGTGAATTATGTGACTACCAGTGTAAAAGGATAGGAGACCCATACCCCATTGGACATGTAAGAGGAAAAAGCTGATTAATTCCCACTCCTCTGCCTGTGAGCAGGTATTTTGAGACATTCAAGAAATTTGGAAGAATATATTTGCTCAACACTCTAAAAAAAATTGACAGTGATACTCAACACTCTATTTATTACGATTAGATAAGTTTACATTTTAAGATATGTGTAGTGAATATACACAAATCACAAAATTTAAACTTATCTAACATACATAAGATGATGGGCATTATTATCATTTGAGCATGGTGAGAAAAATGCATCCATAAAAAAAAATTGCAAGAGTAAAAGAAATCATACAAAAAAAATACGTAATTAACAAAATTAATGAAAATCCATAACAAGAAATGATGATGAACTAATTGAAAAGCCCCTTAGCACTTATTAGTATTTTTCTTTACTTGTAAATGAGAGGTCTTAGGTTTGATTGTCGCCAAAGACGAATTTGAACCACATTAATGTTATCTCATTGTGAAATTAAGCCCTCTACATCTAATGAAGATAATATCGTTTGTTAAAAAAAATTGGCAATGACCCTCATCCCCTCTGCCTTTTGAGAAATTTTTTATTGTAATCGGAACACGAATGGTACACTATGTATTTTTATATAAGTGGGAAAAATTTTATTTTTTAAGTTATACCGTACTGCTTTCCTTCCTACCAATCCATCACCAATCACCCCCTCTACCTTTTGAGAAATTTTTTTATTGTGACTGGAACACGAATGGTATATTACGTATTTTAATATAAGTAGGGAAATTTTTATTTTTTAAGTTATTAACATTTTAACATACACATTTAACTATTTGTATAGTAACATATAATGTACCACTCCATATACCGATCACATTGAAAAATTACTCCTACCTTTTTGGCCTTTTCCATCCCATGCCAACCAGAATTTGCCAAAAAATTACTAGAAACCAAACCTACCTCCTCACCTCCTCTCTACAACTTAAACAAAGCATTAACATTTTCTTCTCTGTATCAAATTGAATAAAAAACAAAAAATAAGAAAACTTACTATATTTCTACGTCTTAAGGAGTATCTATGCATCGATATATGGGTCCAGATCTCTCTTCCGGTCTTCCCTTCGTTGCTTTTTATAAAGAAAACCTACCTGGGTTTAACCCTAATTCAAATAATATTTTTGGAAAACCCAGCTACAGATTCATCACGTCCACCATGAGTTCTGCCTCTTCAACCAAACCCCACGTCTTGGTGTTTCCATACCCAGCACAGGGTCACATGATCCCTCTCATCGACCTCACTCACCAACTCGTCAGTCGTGGACTCACCGTCACCGTCCTCGTCACCCCTAAAAACCTCCCTCTCCTCGACCCCCTCCTCTCCTCCTCCTCCTCCCAAAACCCTAACCCTAATCCCATCGAAACCTTGGTCCTCCCTTTCCCTCCACACCCCTCCATCCCTGCCGGCATCGAAAACGTCAAGGATCTCCCCATCCCCTACTTCTCCGCCATGATGTGTGCCTTAGGCCAACTACACGACCCCCTCCTCCGCTGGTTCAACTCCCACCCCAACCCACCCGTCGCCATCATCTCCGATATGTTCCTCGGCTGGACCCACCGCCTCGCAACGCAGCTGGGTATTCAGCGGCTCATATTCTCCGCCTCCGGCGCCTTTGCGCTTTCCATCGTCGACGCGCTCTGGGAACGCATGCCAAAGCGAGACGACCCAGAGGACCAAGACCAAGTTTTTGCATTTCCCCAAGTTCCTAATTCCCCGAAATACCCCTGGTGGCAGCTCTCCACCGTGTACCGCTCTTACGTGGAGGGCAACCCCGACTCGGAGTTCATCCGAGACGGATACAAAAGTAACAGGGCAAGTTGGGGACTCGTCGTCAACTCGTTCACCGAGTTGGAACGGGTTTATCTCGAGCATCTCAAAAAAGAGCTGGGTTACGATCGTGTGTGGGCAGTCGGACCGCTCCTCCCTCCCGACAGGGTTACAGATCACGTTGACAAGGATGACGAGTCCAGGCCCACGGAAATAAGGGGCGGATCCAGCGCAGTTTCTCTGGACCACATCAAGTTGTGGCTGGACGCGTGCGCAGAGGACCACCAGGTGGTGTACGTGTGCTTCGGGAGTCAAGCGGTGTTGACCAACCATCAGATGGAAGCCGTCGCGTCGGGATTGGAGAAAAGCGGAGTCCGGTTTGTTTGGTCCGTCAAGGGACCCACAAAGGGACACGTGGAGGGAGATTATGGCGTAGTGCCGGCAGGGTTTGAGAATCGGACGGCAGGGAGAGGGCTGGTGATTAGAGGGTGGGCCCCGCAGGTTTTTATATTGAGTCACCGAGCCGTGGGTGCGTTCCTGACTCACTGCGGGTGGAACTCGGTTCTGGAATCGGTGGTGGCAGGCGTGCCGATGCTGGCGTGGCCAAGGGGGGCTGACCAATTTTGCAACGCTACGTTGCTCGTGGACCAGCTGAAGGTTGGGATCAGGGTGTGCGAGGGCTCGAGTACAGTCCCTGACTCGGACGAGTTGGCACGAGTGCTGGCGGAATCGGTGAGTGGGGACTGGGCTGAGAGGGCTCGAGCCGCGGGGTTGCGGGAGGCGGCGCGTCAGGCTATAAAAGAAGGTGGGAGTTCGGTGAACGAGTTGGATCGTTTGGTATGCCAACTTTGTGCGTTGGAAATTCCGGCGAGTAGTAATTTGCAATCCATGCGAAATGGAAATTGAACGAGTATTATTTATGATAATAATAAAAAGAAATTATTACAAATTTTGCTTGTGGGTTTCCTTGTTAATTGGTGATTTTGAAATTATTGCAAATTATGGCAAAAAATATAAGAGAATTTTAGCGAAAAGTTTTCGGTAATGTTCACTTTAAAAAAAAATCATATTTTTATACTAAAAAGTTAATTCTGGTATTAGTCATTTGATTCTTTATTCTGTATGGAATGTAGGGTCCAAAATTGTACATCTATTTATATGGTGATTTGGACAATTCCTAGCTAGCTAGCCTCCAGTCATAATAGCTTGGAACGTTTTGAACATTAACGTAATGTTATATGTTTCAACGTATCTGCATGATATTGCGTTATTAATTTCGACGTTAACATTCCGAAAAATGCATGCAAGGTTTTTTATGCCCACAATTGAGTAGAGGGCAAGAGATAATCAAACTTGTTAAAAGACAAACTTCTCAAAGAATTATCACGTTTACGTAAAGGAACATCTCTTATTACGTTTTTTAATGGGACATTAAAATACTTATTGAAAGACAAACTTCTCAAAAAGCTTAATAAGTTTGTCTTTTAATTTTGAAGTTTGATTGTTATTTAGTACTACGGTCTATTGATATTATTTTTCACTTGTATGTGAGAAGTCTTAGGTTTGATTGTTACAAAGGCGAATTTGAATTACATTATTACTAGCCTATTGTGAGACTAATCATATCTTCTCCCTTACTGTAGATAATATCGATTTTTCAAAAAAAAAAAAAAAAATATTGAATTTTACCCATATCCCACATAATCAAACTTATTAAAAGACAAACTTCTCAAAAAATTCATAATAATTTCAAACAAAGAAAACGCTTGATGTCACACATTCTTATATCTATCTGCCACATGCGAAAGACATATATAACCATGACATTAAAATATTTTTGATTAGTCGCAAGTTGATTTTGAAATTAGTAATTTACATTTTACTTTGTTTTCTAATAATGAAAATCAATAAAATTTATCTTTGAGTTTGTCCATCGTAATGTTGGTTCTTCCATAAAAAATCTGTCAATATTGTTGTTAATTGGAGGGGTTTGTTTAATAAAAATATCTTTACAAATGTGGTCATATGGATGACTTAACGAGGATATTAACAAAATTTTTACGAAATGACCAAAATAATTTACTATGAACAAACTTCTTCTTGTCAAGAACCAGAGTCAAAAGTTAAGTCAATCGAAAAAACCTTTGCAATTTTTTTAGTTAGATAGTACTTATGGTGAGTGGAGATTATTTTGATTACATTTATAAAGTTAAGTCAATCGAAAAAACCTTTGCAATATTAACATGACTTAACTGTGACCGCATAAATATGAGGGGATGAGAATAGCACCCAAACAAGAGGGCAGACGATCTGCCTCCTATTTATATTACTCGATTCATTCATATATCAGCCAGCCAAATGTAGTAAATAATAGTTAACTATGTGATAAAATAACAAAGGATTTTTTTTTTATTTTTTTTTTTATTACAAATGGTCCATGAAATTGATCAAACTCATTATTTTGGTCCCTCACTTCCAAAATCAATCAATATTGTCCTTGACATTCACTACCTGCACATCAATTTGGTCATTCCGTTAAGATTCTGTCAACTATTATGTAAGTTTGTATGTTGGACCCACAAATCCAATGAAATGGTGACACGTGGATTTACACAAAATAAGGGTTTTTATCGCAAATGATCCTTGACATTGATCTGACTTCTCATTTTGGTCCCTGAGTTTAAAAAATCGATAAATTTGGTGCCTGACTTTCAATACCGTACGCCAATTTAATCCTTCTATTAAAGTTTCGTCAATATTTTTGTCCCACTAATCCAAGCATATAGTGTCATGTGGATTAACTACAAGAAACTTTTTTTTTTAAATTTAAAACTAAAAATCAAAACTAAAAGAAAAAGTAGTCATTGTCGTTTTCATTAGGGTATGCTAAAGAAAAGGAAGGCACTATGACACCACTAAAGTACTTAGCCTGCTGAACTCATTCCTCATTCTCTCTAGTCGGTTATACTCCTATCAAATTTGAATTGAATTTGGATTCGATTTTATCGAATTCAGGTCAATTTTTTTTTTTTTTTTCAATTTGGGGTTGTGAGGTGCGAGAAAAATGCCATAACGGAATACTTGTTCATTGGTTCACTCTTAAAAAATTAGTTTCTTGTACTTAATCCACATGGAGCCATATGTTGGATTAATGGGACCACATCAGCATGCAAACGAAAAATATGGATGAAATTCTAACGGAATGACTAAATTCTAACGAAAAATATGGACCACATCAGGGGACCAAATTTATCAATTTTTGAAATTCAGGAACCAAAATGAGGAGTTGGATCAATGTCAGGGACCATTTGTGATAAGAACCCTTATTTTGTGTATATCCACATGTCATAATTTCATTGGATATATGGGTCCCACATACAAACTAACTGAATAGTTGACGAAATCTTAACGGAATGACCACATTGATGTGGGGTAGTGAATGTCAAGGACGACATTGTTTGATTTTGAAAGTGAGGGATTGAAATGATGAGTTTGATCAATCTCAGGAATCATTTGTGATAAAAACTCAATAACAAATGAGAAGAAAGAATTCTTTATATTTGTTTTTATTTTATATGCGAATCGATACTGAAGGATAAAGGCATTCGAATATGAGACCTCAAGTACAATTACGTTCTTCACTAACTGAGACAAATTAACGAACTTGATTTTGGATGGCTTGTGAAACTCGAACATTGATATAAACCTATTGCGAAGATCCATACATACAAGTATGATATATTCCAAACTTGTCTCTCCATCAAAAATGCTTACATAACCGGAAATTGTAGCCTTGAAAAAGAAAAAAAAAAAAAAAAATCACATACAAAATAGTAGCTCTGTGGAAAACCTAGCTAAAACACGAAACAATGAAGAGTATAACAAACTTTGTGCCCTAAAACTAAATTCAAGCCGCCGCCGGCGTCTCCACCGGCCAGTGCTCTCTAGCTCTTCGATCCTTACTTAGTTATTCTTAGGCGGATGAAGTTTTGGGACATGGTAGTCAGCATTGAAAGGTATAAAACCAGCTATTTGAACCTTCACATGACCACGACTACTTGTACTTATCAATCTACGTTCTCCATTAATTTTCAACAGTTCCTCTCTTACCATTCCCAGATTCCTTTCTGTCACTATTTTCCTCGCCAGAATTCTTGTATCTTCAACTTCTTCCACAGCAGCAGGAACGCCGTCGTAAATTTCCTGAAAACGTAGTAGTTTTTCTTAGAACTGTAAAGATGCTGAATTTGTAGGACACACACTATGCTTATAGATGCATTTCACTTCCTCTTCTCCCTGTGCATATTAATGGTTATTTTTGGCTTTTGAATTGATAATCAAAGGATAATCAAATGACAGAAAATAAACAAGAAGCTAGCGTACCTTTTCAACATCGACGAGGCTGCTTCTCAGCACCACTAAAGGACCAGTTTCATCAGCAGCCAGCACTACTTTGCTCATAGCTATATATTGTATTAGATGTATAAAACAAAATACAGGTACAAAGGTAATTAGCTTTGAAGACGCCATTTTTTAGTTCCTATCAAACTTGAACAGCTAGAAGAACCCCAGTGATGAAAGGGAAGAAGGTCGATATATAAAGATCACCAAACCAAGGTCAAACCGTCAAAGTAGCAAAGCTACGGGCCTACGGCTAGTACCAGTCAACACTTTGCCTTTCTTTTCTCCATGATAAAATATGATTACGGAGTTTTTGACAGAGGTAGAGTTACCTGGAAAAAGGATCGATCTGTCTGCCGCCATGCATGCAACGAGGAGGTTTCTTTTCCTGGCCAACGTTGGCCGCATACAAATTAAACCTAGGGTTTCCAACTTTATAGTAATTTTAATTAGCTCTAGACCCTCCTCCCCATATGTCATTCTGTCCTGGGGTAAATTAAATTAACATGCATGGTGAAAATTGACGTGGAGTTTGAGATGGAAGCACATGCTTCTCGTTTGACCAAGTTGCAGACTTGTTGGTTTGGTACATTTTGAAGTGTGAAGAGAGGGATGAGCATTATCTCCAGATCCTCACATCTTAGTCGTTTATCGTACATCGTATAGCCAGTTTTTATTAGATATTATTTGTGTTTATTTTAAATAAAAAATTTAAAATGATTTCTGACTGTACGATATACAATTAACGACTAGGATATGAGGATCTCTAAAATCCCACAATTTGAATTCGGATGAATTCCAAAGGCTGCTTGAGCAAGTCCGCATGTGAGATTTGACTGATTTTATAAGGTTCCCCACCCCAAAAGTAGAGCCATCAACGGTATAGAAATGGGTTCAAACTTCAAACACCATGGTATGCATGGGCGTGAAAACGTTTACATTCCCGTGGATTTAGGAATTTGAGATAGGTAACAGTCGGTGAATCAGTTAATGCAACAATTCATTCATCAAACTTACTTATTACGGAATGTATTTATATTATCTGTTTTCTTAAACGGCTACGTGAACATAGAGAAACGTTAACATTATGGGGTGGTTTAGTGGTTGGGGACGGAATTCCAGACCAATATTCTACATGGTTTGTCCTGTATTCGATTTCTGACGCTGTTGAATCACACAATGGTGACTAGAAGAAGGCTAAAATGCCTAAATAAGTCTTCTTAGCCCTTGAAAAGTTAGAATGACGTAACGAAGCCACTAACTAGTTTCCTTAAAAAAAAAAAAATAATAACAAAAAGGATCGACGAAATACAAACTCTATGATGCAAGAGTTCTTTGGCTAAGAAAATCATGTCACTCTTATCTTTAATATATAGCTTATTTTTTCACATTCAAGCAGTATGTGTTACTTGCTAAACTTTATAATCATGGTCACGTGTTAACAACCTTGGCCTACATATGTATCATCTTTCAACGAACACAATTATACATATTATGCATCATTATTTAATTAGACTCTAATGTATCTCAGTAACTCGTAGGAAATGC